GAGGGGGCACGTTGCGATAACCCGGCCCTAGTCCCTTCGCGAGAGAAGGCAAAAGGGGGGCCCCGGCCTTTGCCTGCTGCAGGGCCGCTCGAGAGACAAAACTTCTCCGCTGCCCCCGAGGAGCAGCCGCCCCAGCATCCCGCCCCCGCTGTCCATCCATCTCCCGCGGGATCCGGAGAGAGGAAGCCAAGGCCGGGGGAGCGGAGCCCAAGCGGAACTCGCGACCCTCCCCCGCGCGGAGTCCCGGGGCGCGGAGGAGTCGGCGGGGCGGGAGGGGTGTCTGCCGGGAGGCGCCTCCTCCATCTGCTGCGTGGGGAAAGAGCCAAGGCGAAGCAAGAGCTGCGTGTGCAGGGAGTGCCCGGGATCGGACTGCAAAGGGCGCTGCCTCCTAGCCCGGGGGGCAGCTCGGGCCCTTGGCCAAGCTGCGGCCCGGCGCCGCGCAAAGTGCAAGAAAGTCGGGAAAAGTTCCTGCCCGTCGAGGTCTCCCCGCCGTGCCGCTGCTTGCCGGGCGTGTGACACGCAGCACCGCTGCAGTGGGAGGAGGGCAGGGCTGGGACCTCCCTCCAGCGCAGGAGGAGACTCAACCCGTGCTTTTTGCGGGCTGGGTTGCATCGCACCCCCTTGATTTGCAACTTTCCCCCAGCCACCCTTCGGTTCCCCAGCAGCTGGAGGAGGCTGCTCCCCGTCGGGGTATGTGCGGGCAGCGGCGGGATGGCCTCGGCCGTGTTTGAGGGCACCTCTCTGGTGAACATGTACGTGAGGGGCTGCTGGGTGAACGGCATCCGGAGACTCATCATCAATCGGCGCGGGGACGAGGAGGAGTTCTTCGAGATCCGCACCGAGTGGTCGGACAGGAACGTTCTCTACTTGCACCGGAGCTACTCGGACCTGGGCCGCCTCTTCAAGAGGCTGCTGGACTCCTTCCCGGAGGATCGCCCCGAGCTGTCACAGTCCCCCCTGCTCCAAGGTTTGGGCAGCTTCTGGCTTCCTTCCTATTGCCTAAGACCCTGCTCCTGGCTTGGGGTGTATGTAGGTACACCCTGGAGAGGGTGGGGAGAGGTAACTTAGTTGCTGGGGAGAGTCAGGCTCTGTTGCTGCCTGTGTGGGTTTGAGTCGCTTTCCTGGAGCGATTGAAAGGCTACAGAACGAGTGGGGGAGGAAAGGGTTAAACGCCATATAGCGGGCTGGATTCTCCACTGTGTAACTTACAGCCGTGTACAGTGCCTGTGAAATACCACCTGGCTCAGTCAGACTGGTAACCCTTCATACAAGGCAGTGGAGAGAATTTGCGCCAGAGGTTTGGCCGAGATTGCTGGGAAATCGAACTCCGTCATCATGCTCCACATAGGCACGATCCCCAAATTCGGATGCACCCTGTGGACGTAATTGCAGAGAGGGTTCTTAGAATACTGTCCCACCCCCTCTTGGTCCAAGCGATCCTAATTGACATAATCTATGTTTACTGCTCCATCCACACTGATTTAACACCTCCCCACCCCTGCCTGAGACACTCTGAGGGGTGCGGGGGCTTTTTTTGGTGCGGGGGAGTGGTATGGGGGAAGCACTGGTGTTGAAAATGGGAAGTCTGCAGCTCTTCACAGTCGATAGAGCAGACTTACAGGGCTAATAATGGGGGGGAAAGTCCAGACTTTGTGTATATTTTCCCATGATAACATGGAAGTTTGCTGCTGCTATCTCTCTTTAACCATCCTATGCTGAGCCCCAGTGCAGGGTGATGGAGAATTAAATTCTGAGGCTTGATTCTCTGCTCCTTTGTACAAGTGTAGTTCTACTGACTTCAGTGGAGTTACTTCTGATTCTCACCTGTGTGAGAAAAGACATGGTCCTTGAGGTTGGAGGTAGCATTAGAGAGTTTTCCCCAAGCTAAGGTGGTTAAAAAATCATTTTTTCTAGAGTAATTCAACGTGAAATATGTCTTGCAGGCTCTGTCAGTCACTCAAGCCTCCTGCTTTCTTTACTCCTGCCAGGTTTCCATCTATTTGTGTTGTCATTTTGTCCTGTTAAAAATATCTGGAATATATTCTTCTTCTCCCCCGCCCCTTTCCCCCTGTTCCTCCCCTGTGCTGTATTCTAGGTTCATGGGAAATCACTTCTCTTTCAGTTTCTGAAAATGTAGAGTTGCTCATTTTAGTTCATCTTGTTTCCCCTCCTCATCCTTTCTCAGCTGACACTGAGGGAGGAAGGAATGCTTCCTGACAGTCTTGGCACTGAGTGCCCCCTGCAGTCAGCTGGGGAACCTTGCTGTGTAAAAGCTGAAAACCCTTGAGTTGGCTGCCAAGTCTAAGGCCTAATGATTTGGGCACTCAATTTAACATACTTTGGGCCCAATTTTCAGTGGTGCTGAGCCCTATTGACTTGAGTTGGAGCTGTGAGTACTCAGCACCTCTAAAAACCAGGCCCTAGTTGTATCAAGTGTGGCCCTTCAAATCAGTGACCACTCTTGCAAAATATTAGGCCTTAATTACATGTTTCAGAGGCCCCATTTGTGCTTTTTCACTCACACTGGAATGCTGATGCCCCTATTTGATCGTCCCACGTAGCATGAACTATAACTGATGAATAGTCAGGGAAGAGTAAACCTCCTTAGCATATTAGGAGATTTAATTCTTGTGCAAGGCCTGGGTCCTGCAGCCCTCACTTCTGTGAGTAATCTTTCCCACATAAATTGTCATCCTGATTTCAGTAGGCTTCCACAGTGAATGACGGGCATGAGGAGGGGGTGAAAGAATTAAGCCCTAATACTACAGTCACTGGGAGCTTCTATCTCCCTACATTATTTTTAATGCTGACAATTCTATGATTTGGGGGGTTAAGATATTTTAAATCTCAAGAACTGTACTTTCTTTGGCTAATGATGGAAACTATTTACAGTGAAACACGTGAATGTGATGGAATCAAAGTCCTGAATTGTTTCTGAGTATTTGCAGTATATAGCTAATAATTCCAGTTACAGTGAACCCACTTCTTAAAATGAAATTCTGTGAAAAATGACTTTGCGGTAATGAGGTATCACTGCATTTCTCTGTATAGTCTGTATTTCATATTTATTCACCACAACTTGTGCATGTCTGGCCACACATACAGTCAAATCTTCTTTAAATGATGCTTTGGATATAAGCAGGGGATTTTATAATGTGTTTGGTACACATAGGGGGTATGACCCCATTTTAGATACACTTTTTGGATCTCAGGTTTCTGCATGTAGCATTTTAAAGAAGAATCACATGTTTCCATAAATTTCAATATATTTAACCCAGTAGAAAGTCACACCGTTTCTAGGCATTAGCACTGAGTCAGATACATTGTTGATCCTAGCTTTTCCAAAAGTGCCAGGCAGAGTATTCTTTGCATCTTTAATCTTTATGGAAGCAGTGAAAGCATTGTTAGTCAAATTTGCATTGCATAGCAGGAATTGGAAGTACTTCTGGTTACCGTAGATACATTTAAGTAGCATCAGAAGAATTAGATTATCTTATCATTTATATACACTTTGTCAAACTATGTTATATAAAAGTTAAGGGATATTTTCAAATAGCAGACACCTAAAATTTGAGCTAAAATAGTTTGATCTTAAAAATGGTTGTTAATTTGTAGGTTTAAAAAAATGTCCACTTTTCAGTTGCAGAAATTTTAGAAAGAGATGGTAGACCACTCCTTTTGTGGGACTATAAATACTTGTGGGTTCAAAACAAAGCTAACATTCTGTGCTGGTATGTTCCTTTTTGTGCAGTAACAGCAAATTTTAGTGACACCCCCCCTCCCAAATCCACTATTTCCAGAACTGTACAGCATTAATGATGCTTATGCAAAAATAAGGTAATGGAGAAAAAAACAGACCCATATTGGCCACTGTTGCACTAGGAATACTAAAAAAAGAGGTGCGGAGAATAATGGAGAAATACATATTTTAAATCTTTAAGAGGGAATTGCAAGCTAATTGTGGCTTGTTTTGAGATTGGAGTTCTGCAGCTCAGAGCTTGTCCACACTTACAGATCTGCAGCAGCACAGGTGGAGCTGCCCTGCTGTAGCGCTTAGTGAAGTCGCTGCCTATGCTGATGGGAGAGATTCTCCCGTTGGCATAGGCACTCCACTTCCTCAAGAGGCGGTAGCTATATTGACAGGAAAATCCACACCCCTGAGCAACGTAGTTATACTGACACAAATTTGAAGTGTAGACCAAGGCTCAGTGTTTTGCCTTCTGAAGTTTGTTACATGTAAATCTATTTCAGTCTGAAGAAATATCATTGACCCTTGCAAAGGGCATTTGTGCAAATGAACTGACCTGGTATACATGCATGCTTCTATACTGCAACAAGGATTCCCTAGAAAGTCTTGATCATGTGCTTGGTACCACGGTACATGCTGTTGGGAGATCTCCTCTCACTGGGGGGTCAGGCTATAGTATTACACCAAGCCTGCTTTTCATTATGAACTTTGCAGCATTTGGACCTGCAAACCCCCCTATTTCATGTGAGCAGACATTCATTATGCAGATTGTTCCATTGAAGGCAGTTGGTCTCTTTATAAGAGTAAGAACTATTTGCATAAGTATTTTAAGGCTTGAGCCCTGTGCTAATATGCATACTGAAGGAATTAAGTCACTGCATTAAACTAAGATCACTATAAGTTTCTATAAACTTAGAGTCCTCTTGCAGGATCCTGAGCCCTTCCTAGTGGTGCTCAAGGCCCTGAGCTGCTGTATTCATATACCTTAACTTTTCCAGGGACTTTGTGCCCTAATGGGGGTGGGTACCAGCACACCCAGCAAAAATTCTGACTGAAAAGGCAAATAGAGAGTAGTATTAATTTGTATTCCTTTAGACCAGAGTTTCCATGAAAACATAAATGTTCCTGCCACTTTAATGTGAACGGAGGGTTATCAGAATCTTGCAAAGATCAGACTTTATGAGCCATGTTGTACCCTTAGGTGGTGTGGTACCTGCATAGGAAGCAGGGAATTTAATCAGGTACCTCTCAAGCAGTTTCGTCTGTATTCTTCTGTTGTGTGGAAGACAGGGGGATGGTTCTCCTCCATCAACAGAAGTAAGGCAGGGTCTGGTCCATAAGGCTCACAAGATCTACCAAGGGCACAAGACCATCTACATCAGGGGTTCTCAAACTGGGTGTCAGGACCACTCAGGGGGTCGCGAGGTTATTACATTGGGGGGTCGCGAGCTGTCAGCCTCTACCCCAAACCCTGCTTTGCCTCCAGCATTTATAATGGTGTTAAATATATTAAAAAGTGTTTTTAATTGATAAGGGGGGTCGCACTCAGAGGCTTGCTATGTAAAAGGGGTCACCAGTACAAAAGTTTGAGAACCACTGATTACATGTTCCAGTGGAATTGCATTGCCATGGTCTCCCCTGATTACAACTGTGCCAGGACAGGGGCATTCTCACCAGAGGGACTAGAGGGTGTATCACATTTTATTAGCCGCCAGCTTTATTTCATTTCACATGCCCTGGTAGTTCCAGAGAAAGTGTGTGCAGGGAGGGAGAGGAATGCTGCTATGGAGATAGCTGATCACCTTCCCCTTTCTGTATAGGGAGTGGGGAGGGTATCAATCTCGTACAATCTGTACTATAGTACAAGTAGTATACACAGTATAAGCAATAAGACTTCATGGGAAAGTCTACTTGATACCTGGCCATCTGGAATGCATAATGAGGCTAAAGGCCAAGTATGCTCATCAACATGAGGTGTGAGTGTCTAGGACAACTGTACTCCTTATTACAGTGATGCTTTTCTAAAATGTTTTTCTTACACATTAATAGTAAGCTGGCTAACAAGTCCGTTTCTGTGCTTCTTTGCCACTCTTTGTAGGGTCATAAATTTTGTCTTCCAATCAGATTCCTGTTCTTATAATGACAGAGAATCTTCATTCTCATGATTCATTATGATGTCACCAGAATCTTCATAGTATTTTCTCTGGGTGTCTGAAGTG